ACGAGGAAAAAAAAAAAAAAAAAGCAACAGCAGCAGCAGTGAACTCCCGCGACGCCCAAATCATGACGTCCGTGACGCAGCACACTCGCCGCCCTCGGTCCTGAGCCAGTATCTTGGCCCGCCAGTGGTAGAGCACAAGTATCCGCAGGACAGCAAGTGGAGGAGGCATTGCGTCAGTGCGCAGGAGCAGTATTTCACGCGATGATGAGGGTCTTAGGAAACTGAGGGAGTTAGCGCGTCCGTATTAGCCATCGGTATCCATCTACATGTGTAGTTTTGTGATGCTATCTTCTCTGGTCTTTCTGGTCTTTCTGGTCTTTCTGGTCTTTCTGGTCTTTTTCTTCTTCTTCTAGGGCCTAGGGTTATCATCATGTACAAGATGATGATGCGAGGTACATTAGGCAGTTTTCATGATAACTCCAACACATTCCTGTTTTCCTGGGCCGCGCCCGTTGGGCCGTGATGATGGAGCATATGTAATCGATTATCAAGGTCGGTCACAAGATAGATACTGCATATGCCGGCCGGCCCTTTGCGGCAACTCCATTTCGTCACGCCATCTTGCGAGCTTCTATCCGGCCGAGTCTGTCCGGACACGCGACCGCCAGCCACCCCCATGACGTAAAATTCCTTGGCGCGGGGAATGGTGGGGGTGGTGCTTTGATGAGAAGACCGCTGGTGATAACATGTTGGAGAGGCGGCATGCATCTGTCTACATATGTACCTACTCTGTAGTTGTCTGATGGATCTTCCTTTGGGCTGGGGAGAAAGAGGCGAAAAAGAAGCGGGAAAAGGGGGAGCATGTACATTGAAAAGTGAGTGCCCATGACAAAAGTCGCAACCCCGAATAAAGGGACATGTCACATGAGACAAAAAGAAAAAGAGCGTCACTCGGCGAACTGTACGGGTTTACTCGGCGAACTGTTTTTGCCAAAATGCTCCACATTTCTCAGGGTCCTTGACTCCTTTGTACCTTCCCCGCTCCAAGACAGTGCTTCAGGCAATGCACACTGCCGACACCGTTTTTATCACCTTTCCAAATCATTTTTCATCTACACACCCAAGGGGCCAAGTACCCGTTCATTAAAGCCCAAGACGAATGTGTACTGTTTGTAATTATAATTCCCACTGTAACTCGGTGAGGTACGAAGAAGCCTGAGAAATATGAGGCATTTTGGCAAAAAATGTTCGCCGAGTAACGCTCAAGAAAAAAAAGAAGGAGCGAAAAGCCGTGTAGGTACGTAATGTGGGAGAAAATGTCGAAAAAAGTGACACCTGAGGGATTCGAACCCTCGCCTATTACTAGACCGCGAGTAGGCGGAGCAGATTGGAGATGCTGCTCCGAGACCTGAACACGGCGCCTTAGACCACTCGGCCAAAGTGCCTTTGATGGTATCATCCGACGCTAAACCTATACAAGAATGCTTTACACTCGAGATGCCGGGGGAAGATGGTACGGAAAACCGCGCGCTGTATGCCTGCTTTGGTCTCTAGGGCCGCATCGCTTTTCTGGGCTACCAGTATAACATGTTTTCTGAGGGGGTTCTCAACTCGTTGGGAGGGGGTTAGGGCCGGACGGAGGACTCAGGAGGAAGGCGGGAGCGTGGATCGTTACATCGTCTCTTCATGGAGTGCACGTGAGGTATTGTGTCTTTGGGGAAATCGAATCGAGTGATGATGTATGAGCAGAGGAGACTGATCATCGTCGTTACCATGTTATCCAGCGAATGAGCAACTGCAGAGTATGTATGCATCATAAAGTTTGCAAGGCTAGGAAATTGATCGTCATTTTCGGGATACTAGGTGAGAAAATGCACAAAAGTGCAATTGATTGTACAAGTCTCTGTGCAAATCGTTTTAGGAGAAGAGGAAACTGATTAACTATGTTGTCGGGGGACTAGTCGGCGAACAAGCATATGACTAGTAGATCACAAGATATGTGCGAAAGAAACCCTTTTCGTTTCCGAGTCGGCCTCGTGCAGAAAACAAGGCCGGAAATAATCGCTGCTACTGTAGCCACGATCACACGGCAAACAGGTAAGTGCCCGTTCACATGCCAAGTGAGGCGTCGAGCATAGCCGTTTGCTTCATACCTGCGCAGTCACACAGACCACATCACAGCCTGCAGAAAATGTATTTGACACGGAATCTTATTTACAATTATCGACACGCCGACATTTCCGCATCGGGTACAACTAATTACCACCCATCCCCGACACCAAATAAACAGACGACAAAGGAGTCATTAGATCGTAAAGCATAGCAAGTCATTAAACATGAACAAAATAAAGTCATCAGACATAGCAAAGATCGACAACCTCGGCGACCAACACAAACCATCGTGCCCATGTTTGAGGCGAATAAGGTGAATAAAACACAAAGTCAAATGAAAGAAGAGGCATAAAACTACAAAGGAAAAGGTCATACATACATGCAGCTATGCGGGGATCCATTATTTCTGTCCATCAAAATCCGACTCTGCGCTCACACCTGGATAGTCTCTTCCAAGGCATTGAAGGTCGCCATCTAACGCAGCCGCTCTTGGATATACACCATGGTAGATAGAGCAGAGCAACAGCGGACACTCATCTCATGTGCGCACCAGGAGCACCGCACAGTCATGGACAAAGCGCCAGAATAACCACACTTGTCGGCCGGGCTGAACACACCCTCTGGGTTGGACATGGCTTTGAACAGATTACTGGGCATGTCGTGGTAGTGTGTGCAGGAGCAGCACTGGACAAAGACCTTGGCAATGGGATCTCGATCCCGAGTCGCGAGATGAGGTGTAGACTTGTGGCGATGATGGCGACGGACTGAACTATTCACTGCCGGTGCAGGCTTGACATTTTCGTTTGCAGGATTCGATTTGTCCTGCTGGAGAACAACGGAGGTGGCGTGGATCGGCGCGCCGGCTGGTGTCTGTTTGCAGGCTTGTTCAAGGGAGAAGGCCGGCGGCGAATTCTGTATAATCCTAGATTTAGGCTTGCGGACAAGATTGACAGGTTGCTCGGCGGCAGGCGGCTCAAAGCTGGTAGCCGTTGACAAGCTGGCTTGAGAAAGAAGGCGGCGGCCAAGGTCTGGTTTCTGGACTGGTATTTCATTAAAGACAGCAAGGACCTTGTCAGCAGCTGCTTGAATGGGATCCACTCCTCCCTCATCCTCCGAATTATCCGCGCTGGTCAATGGGTATGTTTTGCTGAGACAGGCCCTGACTGCGTCGTGGACCAAGGGAGGATCTTCTTCGCCAGACGTCAGGGACATTTCTCGCTCAGACTGAGGCCGAGAAGTCGCAGGCGTGCTGACCGACGCGGAAGAGTGGACATCGTCATCGCATGATTCCTCCGAGGAACTCGCTGGCAAATGTCCGTTGTTTGCGGGCGATGTCAGACACGGCGAGATCTGACTTGCAGCAGTAGAAGAGGATGTCGCGACTCCAGTCGATGCACGGCGAGATGGCCTGCCCTCGGGTTTCGTCAAATTCCTGCAAAGGGGAAACGAGCGCTGCGTATACGGCTGTGCGGCTTTCGTGGAAACTTGAGTGTCAGAACCATGCTGTTTATGTCGAGGCAGTGTCGGAACCGGGTTGAACTCGACCCGACTGAAAACAGAGTGTCGTTTTGGGCTTCGTTGAGGAGGTTCCGGTGGATGTGGGGAAGAAGGCGCTGTGTTGTAGCCGGTCGCGGCAGATGAGGTGGACGAAACAGACTCATTGTTACTGTGCTTCTGTGCGCGTCGATTCTCAGACGGAGTCATCGGCTGCGCCAACTGGACAGGAGCTGTCGAGGGCAGGGTCGAATATCCTAAGGCGGATGCAACATTCAGCGGCTTTGGCGACGAGAAACTTGAGCTTGTAGTATTCGGCTGTTCGCCGGGAGCCTTGATGGTTAAAGGATGATGCTCTGGCTGCCTTCTTCCGTTGAATTGGCCTGCAGATCCGCAAGGCTGTGATTCTTCATCGGCACCTACTAGCGATCGTGTGCGTGAACCCGCCCTCGAGAATCTGTTACGCCACTTGCCAACCTTGCTAACGTCTGGAATAGCGGGCGACGTGGGAAACGTCGTGAGTGATGCTTTCTTCTGATGATAGTTGATCCCTCCAGTAATTGGTGGATATCGACGTTGCTCGGCTCGGCTGGGGGTGTCTGGTCTCGCGGCCAACGCTGACGGAGACTCGAGGTTATTGTTGCGAAGAGCAGGATGGATATTGGATTCGTCTTCCACGGCGTTGCTGTCCAAGTTCTGTTGCTGACAATTGTATCGCTGAAGGTCTAGCTTGATGCCGCCAATAAATTCTGAATCGGTAGCTTGGTCTGTGGACGAACGCCGGAATTCAAAAGGGGCCCTGAGCATGGAAACAAACGAACCCGATCGACTGCGAGTCTTCCGTGCGGCTTTTTTTTCTTGACTCGACCCGCTCGCAGAGGCTGTCTTTTCGGTTCGCTCTTGTCCACGTCCTCTACCTTCGTCGGCCTCTGCCGCCAACGCATGTTGGAGAGACTTAGGGGAGCTAGCCGGCGGTGGCTTTTTGGAAAGCCTTCTGGCGCCATCCTTTTTGGACTCCCCTCTCTCTTTCTTTTCCATCTTCTTCTCAATCTTGCGTCGTTCATATGCTTCCCAGCTTGGGGAATGGCACCGTGCAACTTCCTTGGGAGGGGTTTCATAAGCAACGAGTGTTGCATACTTGTCCCGCAGTGTTGTTGCAGAGGAGTTGCGAGTGTCACCAACGAGAAACTCTCGCGTACCGTTGTCGAGCATGTCTGATCGGCTCATTGTGAGAGAGGTGTCGGGCTTGGTGTTGATGACGACTGGCCGGAGCTGCGGAGGGCAAGAGGTATCACCACGACGGGGCACACGACTTCGAACAGGCCTTTGAGCATGAACCTCCAGACGAGGTGCGAGATTTCTGGTGCGGTCCGTAGACGTCTGGTGTGCTGTGACTAGTATGGGAGTCGTTTGAGATTTCGACTTGGACTGAATAGGAAGTGAGTGGTGTCTTTCAGTCTGTGGCCGTGACTATAAATCTAGTCAGAAAATGTCTCGAACAGTCCACATATACAAGTGACATGTAAAACAGCGTAACATTTGAACCCAAACACGAGGATTACAACAAGGGCGAGAGCGTGATACTCACTATATACAGCCTTTCCAAGTCCAACATGCGTTGCAGGCTGGTGGAGCGGCCGGGCCGATTCTTAGTCTCCGCCATGGGGATGCTGTTATTCAGTTGCGCGGTGGTTGGAACCTGGGCTGGGGAAACACCACCGTGGCGAGTAGCGGAGAACTCTATCGGCTTCCGTTGTTCTAGCTGCAAGGTCCCCATTTTGCTTTGTACGTTTCTGCGCAAAAGAGGCTACGACGATAGAAAGTGTGAACAGTCCAGAGCATACTGGTCCCTGAAAAGCTGAGTCAGTCCGTACCCTCGCAAATAAGCTTTCTTAGATGGCTGGCCAGCGACAGTATTTCTCTGTTGCGTCGCGGCCCAACCTGGCTCTCACGGCCCTTGCCTACGTGTGTCTGGTCTGCTGCGGGTGCAAGACAAACCATTCGACTGGACATACCTGTACCTAACCTGACAGCATGAACACGCCCCGCTGCACTGTGGTGGCTGGCGATCAAAGGTAATGTCGAAGATGGAAATGCCGGGTGGCGGAATGTTCACCAGACAGCCAAGCCAATTCATCCGCCGTCGATAAGCTCTGCAATGTCCAGAGGATCCAGAAAAAGAGCGCGAGCGAGCGAAAGATTAAGGTCGGGTCGATGCTCTGCTCTGGTCGTTCTTGCGGGACGTCGCTGACAGCTGTCAGGCCGAGGCGGTAAGCGAGTAACTGGTGCCAAGGGTGCGGCCAGCTGTGAATCGGTCGGCTTTTAGGAGCACACAAGAGCCAAATGCAAAATAGGGGATGAAACGAAAAAGAATTACCAGGTAGGAGGTAGGTAATAGACAGAGAGGAAAGTGGACTTCCTATGATTTATGCTGGACCGTGTGCATGCAAAAAGGCCTTTGAAAAGCCCCCGCGCATGGCCTTCAGCAAAGCCATCAAATAAGTGGTGCAGGCGGCCTGAAAAACCGGGAAGAACTTGCAGATGAATACGAGAATCTATGAGTACATGACGGGCCAGCCAGTGCTCTACGGAGACTTCCCGCAGGATTCATCACGTCAGCTCGGAGAATCGAACCGAGTTGCCGCAAACTCCAATCCGAGCTTCACGTTTTTCCCACGACGAAGGATCAGTCAGATAAAGCGGGGCGTTAACGATAAGATCATGAGACACGGTCTCGCACAAGGTACTATGTACTAATATGAAGGGGTGGTGATATTGCCATGGATGAAGCTGCGTAGAAATGTATGTATGTACATACATACATCATCAGGAGAGAGAT